TACCCCTTCCCTCTCTGAAGCATCTGTCCCCTCCCTGTCCCCCAGGCCTTTGGCCTGGTCTAACCTGGGGTGCCATGTGGCTCACTCCCTTTTGGCTTTCCTCCAGAGGCGACAGGGATAGAACTAATGAGCAGAACTGCACTATATCGCTAAGTGGGGTGACTGCAGCTTACTCTCAGACAAGGACAGTGACTTAACTCAAAGGTGAGGATTTGGATGAAGGGATATTCAGGCACCAGGAGTTGGCCCCAGCTGGGGGAATTTGGGTGTGGGAAGGTGTGAAGCAGAGATTGCTTCCTGAGGTCCCTCACAGAACACCATGCAGGCGGGCCCACACCCACTGCAAACCAATGCAGGGCTGGCCAAAAATACTTACCTTTACACTCTCTGAGTGCTCCAGATCTAGATCTGCCAGACTCTCTGTGATCAAAAGACAACATAGGAAGACAGTTATTTGGGGGATATGTGTAAATTATTAGCACAAAAATCATCTTAGTACTTTCATCCAAGAATCCTAGAAATGAGGCCAACAGAAAAAGTTGAAGGAAGTGAGATTCCTAGAAGGTTGCACACAGGTCTTGGCTTTTAACTCGGACACTGGGAAAGAGGGAGTGTGTGGAGAGGCAGGCTCCGTTATGGGCTACGCATCCCTGCACAGGACTCTGTGGGCCTCTTTGTTCATCTGCCAAATGAGAGATTAGGCCGCGGATGGTTTCCAAGGGCTCCTGCAATGCTCCAGTTGTAGACAGTTAAGCAAACAAACAAAAAATGAGAACAGGTCTGCCACCTAAAGGAATGACAGAAAGAAAGGTGCTGGCCTAAGGAAACAGTTACATCCTTTGAAAGACAGTGAGTGCTGACACTCTACCAAGTCCCGGATGTCAATATGCCAATGACGGAAATTCCGTCCAAGGAGGTAGAAATGGTTCCGAGAGAGAGAGGCCTTCCAGAAACCGCCTGACTAGTCCCACACTGGACTTGTTTGGAGTCGGCAAGTAAGTGTGTGTGTCTCGGCTTTATTACTCAGTGCTGGGTGCACAGTGGTGAGTTACTTCTGACTTCTCTTAGTCCCGCTGCCCCCACTGCCTTTTTAAAGCTTTTGCCATTGGGCACGTGCACTTTTCAGAAAGAGACAGAGATGAGAGAGAAAGTGAGAAATCACCCCCCGGGGGAGATGGCCATGCTGCAATCCCTTCTCCTCCATTCTCCTCCTGGGATTCTGGCCATCTCTCTAGCTTCATCTCATCCCACTTTCCTTGTCACCATGCTCTGGGCCCAGCCTTCTTTCTTTTCTTCTAATGTGTCAATCTCAAACCAGCCTAGGGTCTTTGTACTTACTGTATCCAGTGTCTGGGACCTTCTGCTGCCAGATCTTCCTGTGTCTGCCTCCTTCTTGTCATTAGGGTCAGATGTTTCTGGACTTCTTGAACCAAACAAATCTTGCCAGCTACTCTCTAGTATGTCTGCTCTTCATTGTTCTTTATATTCATTCATGAATTCCACATATATTTACTGAGCACCTATTCTGTGCTTGTTTTTTAGGCATATGGGTATAAAATGAATAGGCCCCAATCCCTGCCCTCATGGAGCTACATATTCTAGGAAAAGGAGATGGCCAATAAACAATTAAAAACATACAGTCGGGGCCAGCAGGTGACATGGTAGGTAAGGCACTGTACTCCCACATGGCTGAATATGGTTCGAGTCTCGGACCTGGTGGCTTGCTTTCTCACTTTCTCTCTCATTTTATCTCTCCCTCTGTGTGTGTGTGTGTGTATGTATGTCTAATGTGCACATATGCCCTATAGCAAACTTTAAAAAAATTTTTTAAAAAGTGAATAAAACCATACAGCCTATCAGATAGTATGATAGGGAGAAACAGGGAGGAGACTAGGGAGAAAATAAAAGGCTAGGGAGCAGTTGGGTGGCAGTGAAGTTGCAGTTTTAAAGAGGGTGCTTACGGAAGGCTTCACTTAGAATACGGTCTTTGAGCAAAGCTCTGAAGGAGGTGAGGACTGAGCTATACAGATATGTGGGAGAAGAATGCTGCGGGCAGCCTAGCAAGCACTGAGACCCTGAGAAAGGAGAACACTTGGCGTGTTTCAGGTCAGTGTGGCTGAAGTGCAATGATTAGGAGGGAGACATGGCAAAGAGATGTCATGGGGAGGGGGAATGGGATCCAAACCATCAAAGGCCTTGGAAACCATTGTAAGGGCTCTGGCCTTTACCCCAGGAGCAACGGGAAGTACTCTTTCGCGTCTAGAATTACAGTGTTTATGCCAATACACATGCTCCTAAGTTAGAATATAAGCCCTGAGGGCTTAGTCACAGCTGTTTTCCCAGCACCTAGAACAGTGCCCAGCCCAAAGAAAGTGCTCAGTGAATATCTGTTGAATGAATGAATGAATTGTATAGGTGCAACACTACCCAAGGATATAGGAACTAAACACAGTTAAGCAATGAAGCTGAAACAAAAACTGACGTCGGATTCAGATTTAGGAGATTCGGCATCTACAGCCTGACTCACCGTATGACCCTCATTGAACCTCAGTTTCTTCATCTCCAAAATGAGGGGCTCTTACTAGTTGGCTTCTTTCTGGCGATGACAGCCGATGATTCCACAATGCAGGATACACACCAGTGATATATCATCTTAGACTGTAACATGCTCATGGAATTGTGGCATACTTACCACTGTTTTGTGGTTCATCATTTTTTTTCCTCAATTGCAAGGAGGTGTGTGGTTGTGAGAGAGGGAGAGAGGGAGAGAGAGAGCGAGCGAGCAGGCACCTCCCCCCATGGGGTGTGGTCACATCACAGTCCCTTTTCCTCCATGCCTCCCTCTTGTTAAGATCCTGGGCATGCACTCACATGCACCTGGCATGTTTTTTCCAAGCCATAGGGACCCAGACTCAACTGTAGCTGGCCATGTGGGGTCTGGCTCCCTATGCACGGCACTTCACCACTGCTCTATAAGGCTGGCCTGATGGTTTATCTTTTTTTTTTTGGAGAGATTTTCACTGTAGGGCGCGTGCGCTCGCCAGACAGACAGCAGAGAGAGACATAGAGACAGAAAGCGAGAAATCACCCCCCCAGGGGGGATGGTCACACCGCAATCCCTTCTCCTCCATTCTCCTCTCGGGATCTTGGGCACACACGCACACGCGCCTGGCGTGAGTTTTAAGCCACCGGGTCCGGGACACGAACCACGGTCGACTACGTGGGAGTCCAGCGACATAGCCATTATGCTAACTGCTGGTTCCCGATGGTTTATCTTTTAATAAAAGCTATTTCCACTCCTGCATGGAATGGATAGCCTTATGTAACTCCTTGAGTGGGTTGTGGGCTTGAAATAGTCAAGGTCACCTTTAGGCTTGTGGTTTGAGTTTCAAGGCTGCCTTTACAGTTAACATGACACTCTGACCTTTAGTCCAGTGCTGTCACTGTTAGAACCACATTGAACCTGAGGTCTCAACAGAGGACCAAAGACTCAACTCATAAATATTTTAATAAGCCAGGTCTAACACAGACAAAAAACAAAGTGGGATCTACCCTAGCTAGATTTTGACGTGTACAAATAAATTTAGGTTTAGTCTTTAGGTTTAAAAGATTTCAAATATATTTTAGTAGGACTAAGCTAATCATACATAGCATATATTCTTTTTAAAAATTTATTTATTATTATTATTGCTATTTCTAAATTTGCTATAGGGCATATGCACTCACCAGAGAGAGACACAGAGAGAAGATAGAGGAAAACTGAGATAGCAAGCCATCAGGTCTGGGACTCGAACCATGTCAGTCATGTGGGAGTCCAGCACCTTAACCACCATGCCACCTGGCTTCACAAACATACACTCTCAAAGAGTTGATTAAATCCTAGTAGTATAGGCTCTGGTCCCCATATGAACTATCTATGTTATAAACCCTTATTTCCTGGATAGTTCCCGCAGAAGCACAGTGATTGTAAACTCTTAGTATCGGAACATCACATATTCTTAACCCAAATCATTAAGGACATCTTAGTAGTGACTCAGACAAAGCAAATTGGTTGGCTCATGTTAATTAGGTAAGTGACCCAGTACCCTACTTAGTAAACTAGATTAACCTACCAGAAAATCCAGTATTAACTTCAGTGTTGACAAGAAATGCATCAATGCTATGTACTTTTAAATACTGGGTCATTGGGAAAGTCATGATACATTTTTGCATAGAAAAACATGTCATGACTTTCCTGATGACCTAATACCACTTAACTAAAAATTTAAAAAATTTAATCATAGCACATCTTTACAGTGTACAACATGTTTTTTTTCCCCAGCACAAATACAGTGCGTATTAGTTAAGTCAAAGCCATTATCATATACACTATCATCTGCAGATAACTTTTCTAAATAGTATCTAATTTAAATTAAGAAAAATTAATTCCAACCTTCTGTTATTTTGGCACTTGGATCTGGAGGACAGTCATTACTAAAAGCAAAAGGTAAAAGACATTTCATTTTCTTTTAATTCTTAATACATGAAACAATACTGGTTAGGCAAAAGAACAAATCTGTCAAAGTCATTATTTATATAGAAGCAAAACTGGAATGTTGTCTCTGAGTTCTTAAAGCAAATGAAAATGATTGTCACACTGACTTATTTACTTTTTTTTTTTTTTGAGAGATTTTTGCTATAGGGCACATGCCCGGCGTTGAGTTTAAGCCACTGGGTCTGGGACTTGAACTGTGGTCTACTACATGGGAGTCCAGCGACCTAGACATTATACCAACTGCTGGTCCCTGTCACATTGACTTTTATGCCATTTTATATATGTCCCCTTCTATTTTCCACTGATAGAAATAACTGAGAGAAGCCTATATTACTAATGATTTGTGTTAAAATTGTCAGAAGGGGGGATAAGTTAGAGTGAATAGTAGGCTAGGAGCCTGTTCTAAAATGGTCTCAGGTCATCAAAGAGAAATGTACATTTCAAGGTGCTAAGGGGAAAACAATATAGTTATGACTGGGTGTAGGTTTTGCTCTATACCTGACTTTTTCCATGATACAAAGTGCTACCCCTCTTGGTTTGTGGATATTCTTCTAAATGTAGAACAATTTTAGACATGTCTTAGCTATTCTACAAAAGTGTTAATCAGACCTCAAGTCTGCATAGTCCATGTCTCTATAAGTCCAATCTTTGCTCCTAAAGTCTTCCCCAACTTGAATGGGCTTCTTCTTACTCATCCATACTTACAGGCTCAACTCAATCTCAACTGCTTTGAGAATTCTTCCCTGAATGCTCTAACTCACACTGCCTCTTCCATCCTTGGGACTCTCCTGATAGTCACTGCCATACCGCTAAGCATTTAGGTGCTTAAGGGAACTAAGCCAAAACCCATTTGGGCTGGCTACTAGTGCAGGGTCTACTGTTGATCCAGTGCCTGTCTCCGAAGTTCAAGAACCTAGCATATTGGAGACTTGATCTAACTATACTAACTAGATGACTATACTAAAAAGCAGGTCCCAGGAGGAGGAAGTAGAGGCCAGATAAAATAAAAATGGGAGAGAAGATGGGGAAGGGATCCCTCAGAAGTAACTGGAGAAGGGAATGGGAGTGGGGCAGGCAAGTGAAGGAGGTTGGAGTTAAGCACTGGTTTTTTCACAGGTTTACTTGAGGGTCCCATTCTTCCCACATGTGTAATTTTCATTTCAGATTACTATTTTCTTAGCCAAGTTGTACTACTTTAATCGAACGTACCTGGAAAGTGAAGGCAAGTCATCTTCATTGTAGGAGGATGCACTCATAAGTTTGTGCAGGAAAAAAAGTGACGGCTCTGTAGGTGATTTTATTTCTTCTACCTGGAAAGTTGGGTTTTAGACAAAGTAGAATTTATAATAAATCAAGAAAAAGATACGGTACTATTTCCTTAGTTATCTGTGTAGCCTGAATTTTTAAGCAGGCACACTGTGTATGGTCATGAAATCTCACAGAGTTTTCCAGTAAATAGAGCAGAGTTGGTATGAAGGCTACTGACCTGGCGAGCTCCTGAACTGACCAGAACCGTGTCTGTGTTTTGCTTTCTCTGGTTCACTGATGCTCCTGGGTTAACTTGGGCATCGTTGCAAATGGATAATGCAGGAAATTGTCTCACCAGGAAGTCCTAAATAGCATGTATTCTCCAAATGCATAGTATGCTACAACTTTTTGGGTAGGGCTAATCAAAGAGCTCAGGGGTTCCATATCCTGTCACTCCAGATATGGGACCAGAGACAAAAGCTGTGTGTCAAAACGATAGTGGAGTTTACAGGCTGGTTGGAAAGGGAATATTCAACATATTTTGACTAACTTGGTATGTTTCAATAAGTTGGTGAAGTAATTTTTAAGGAAAAAAGTTAGCTAAGTAATTTGCTCAAAGGTAATATAGCCAGTAAGTGGTAGATTCAGAGTACTAACCCAGACAAGTTGGATCTGCATGAATCTTTGTACTTCCCCCCAGCCTATCTTCTGGTCTCACCCACTGGCATGGCATTTCTGGGCACTAAACTTTCAATGAATACTAAACAACTAGAATACCAAAAAAAGTGGAGTCTGTCATTTTAAATAATTAGCTTGCATTTCTCCTGGTTTCCATTTTCTGTTTTTCTTGTACATCTGTCTAATCTAGGATTCTTTCCATGATCTATTTTCCCTCACTGAAGGCTCCTGGCTTCATCTGTTAATTCCCCTTTAGTCTAAGTATCATCAGTGTTAGAAGAGACTGCCTGAATACAGTTTAGTACCTTTCTTCTTATCTGCAGTACCTTGCTTGGACTAAGTTTGTGAAACTTTCTACCCTCTCCATTGAAATGCCTTCACTGGGACCAGCAGATGGCATAATGGATACATCACTGGACTCCCATGTAGTTGACTGCAGTTTGAATCCCTGACCTGGCAGCTTAAAACTCATGCTGGACGTGTGAGCGTGCATGCCCAAAATTCTGAGAGAAAAATGGAGAAGGGATTGCGGTGTGACCATTCCCCCCTGTGGGAGGGTGATTTCTTGCTTTCTCTCTCTCTCTTTCTCTCTGGTGAGTGCACGTGCCCTATAGCAAAAGTCTCTGTCTAAATAAAAACAAAACACAAAAAACAAAACTCTCAACACCAAAAAAGAAATCCCTTCACCGAGAGTCACTTTTCTCACTTACACTAGACTGTCTCTTTTTCTTCCAAAGGGAAGAGTCTGTATCAGTTGAGGATTTCGAGGTAGTAACATCGGATACAGAAACGATTCGTTTTTGTTGTGCTTCCTCAGGTTCTGTCGACTGTTTTGGAGATGCTTCAATGCTTTTTACAGTTTCACTGGACCTGGGACTACAACATTTTCCCAGGGACAAAAAGTTTTTCAGATTGCTTTTGTTAGCTGGTGGCTTGAGGGCAACCACGGTGCTTGCCATGGGCTCCTTGTCTTCTTCCTTTACTTGACCATCCAGTGGGCTTTCTGAAAAGTCTTCTTTTATAATCTCTTGTAAAACAACTTCATCTTCATCAGAAGTTAAGCCCTCTTCTGCTCTATTTTCTGACTCTTCTTGATCAATATCATGAGCTACTAAGCGAATGATAAGATCTTTTTTGTTCTGGACATCTTTCAAGAGTTCTACTTTGGTAATATCAGGCTTTAGTAAATTCCGAAAAGAATTCCTACTTGCTATCTGGAATCAAAGAGACAATGGATATTAAAATAATTGCCTCAGTCATTTTTCTTTTGGTTCTATTATAATAGGGCAACTTTCATAAGGTTTTTCCTTTAAATTTAGTAAAATTATTTATCTTCAAATGCCATGTACTTATATGTTACTGGTATAATTAAAGGAAGAAATAAAATGAATATCATAAGAAATATATGCTTATTTATATAATATTGGATTGTCAGAAAAGTCAGGACATATTTTTCTATGCAAAAATGAGTCATGACTTTTCCGACAACTCAATATTTTTGCATGTAGAAATATCATTCTATTCCAAAGAATAGACCCTAAGATTCTTTCTTCTGCTTTCCATATAAATGCTGCCTTAAATGAATGTCTAAAACAAAAGTGAAAGAGGAACTTATATAAGAAATGGAAACAATTTGCTTGATTAACTGTACTCTTAGAGGGGAACAGTGGTCCAAAAAAATAAAAAATCATTCTATATGGCTTTAAAATTTGTCACCCTAAGAGCCTTTAATACGTCTATGTGTGGCATACTGGGAAGTTTTGGTACCACAAAACAGTAGAGGAGGCCTTGATGATTCCTGACCAAGGAGTTGCCATTGAGTTGTCTAGGGTCCCTAAACTCATCTACTCTTCATCCTGCAACCCCTCCCCCTCTGCTGGGGCTAGATGGCATTCCTCTCTGGATCACTGCAAAGCATCTGTCTTGGCTGAGCTGCTGATGTCTGTTTACTTTCTGTAAGGCGGCAGGGATAGTTGTTTGGGATTAAACATTCTCTTCTTTCTCTGGGACACAGAGAGAGTTAAAGCACTAATAAAATACATCAACGAAGAGAGCAGGTACTCAAGAATAAGAACTGCAGAACAGCGACAGCTATTTCTGCAGATGATTAAGCACTGTCTTGGGGTAATGTTCAGTCACACAGTTTTATTTATTTTACTTATATATGATAGGACTTCAAAAAGTTCACCGAAAAATGGAATTAAGGTATGAGTAGTCTATTTTGGTGCAAAAAAGAAAAAAGGTAAAATAAAGAAATATGTATTTTCCACGACCTTTTTGAAGATTACCCTTCTATAAATGAAGACTAGAACCCAGAGAGAAGCGGATAGCTTAGAGTTAGGAAGGGCTTTCTAGTCCAAGAAACTAAGGACTAAGGAGAGTCCATCAGTGTCCCAGCCCTTAACAGTCTCAGCATCTGGGACAAAAACCCAAACCAAAACATCAGTGTGCACACTAGCTCTAAAACGTAGCTCATTGTTGGAAAATAATGTTAGGGAAAACATGCTCCTAGGTTTATGCTCCAGGCAGGCAGGTTTTATAGAACTCTGCTCACTTTCCAGGTCCCTGTGTGAAGCACACCATTGGCCCAAGAAGCTCATGTATGACAAGGAGCTTTGTTATTAGACAGAATGTAGGGCCAGATCAGTATAACTGGATCTCTGAGCAAAGCCTCATGTAATGAAAGTGAAATAAGAAGAGGGAAACAGAAAAGCTTGTAGTCTAACGTTTGCTGATGAATGTTGCTAAGTAAAACCAATACGACTGTGGAGCCTTAAGTTTGAATGTGTAGTAAAGGCTGGTCTACTGAAAATCTAACTAGCCCTATTTATATCCATATAGTGCTACAGTAATGTGGAAATCGCAGAACTGTGGAAATTACAAAAAATTGCATTTCTTTGAGTTGCAAAATGAGGACAATTCCACTTAGTCTGGAGTGGAATTGTTAAGGGTATTTTCTTGCATTGCTGTTCTTCAAGAAGTGGCAGTTCAGTCTGACCCGCTAATGAAAGCTATGTGACTTGACGCCTTTACAGGGAGCCACACAACTGATGGCATAAGTCCCAGGTAGACAGAGAATTGTACTGGATGAATTAAGACTACCCAATCCTACTGTGCTGGGCAGGAGAAAATTGATCATATTTAACACATGCATTTAACAGACCTATCTAAGGAAGGAAGTCACAGAGAGACAACTAGGTCTCACTAGCTACTCCTCTTCACCACTGCCTTTCACACTTACCTCTAATGGCTTGACATTTAGTCGTCCAGTTTTATCCAGTGACACTCGTTTCTCTTTCTTCCTCTCTTCTGTGGTCGATAAATCCGTTGCATATCTCCTCCCACTTATCACTGCTCGTCTCAGTGCTTCTATGCTGTGTCCAGTTTTAGCTAAACAATCCATCTTCAGTGTCTTAAGAGATTGTGTTTTTATAGAAATGACTCCTAAATGTTCTGCCACAATGTTGGGGTCGATATTGACTGGCTGTTTTCCACAATGAGGAATTATTTTAACTGGAAGTTCCTTTTCTTTTAAATCTTGATCTAACTCTTTTTTCCCTATGTTGGGCTCCATTTTAACAGCATGCTCTTGTGTTTTTTCAACAATTCGACTGACGTCCACATCAGCAAAGAGATCAGCATGTGAATATTTTGAGCAAACTGTTTCTAATGGACAGTTTAAAATTGTACTAATAATCAAAGAAGCCACCTTATGAGGGAAGAAGCGATTTGTACCCTTCATGTCATAATAAAGATCTTTGTGTGTCCCGAACTGTTGTAGTATATGACTATAAACAGAATCAACGATCTGAGGAATAATTTCTGTACTTTCTGGGCTTAAAAAATGTTCTTCAGAATTAGCAGCCACAACATTAATGTTATTTCTGGAAATTTCAGCTGTCACAGATTTTGTCAGTTGAGATGCGATTTTATTTAACTCAGGCTTGGATACATTTTTAGCATATTTGCTTGAGGCACTGGGCAACTTCACCAACCTAGCCAAGAACAAGGCTAGTATTTCCTCTACAAACATGATATCTAACATGACATCTTTTCTGGATGAAGGATTTTCTTTCAATTTAAGGTTGTCAATAAGCTTAGTCACCTTTTCCATAATTGTGACAGTCTCCAGAATTAATTCTGAACTAGATGCTGCTGCTTCTTCTATTTGAGGATGAAATTCTGAATTGGAAATTTCTTTCACCATTAAAAAGCCTATGATATCGGAGAGGACCTTGCTCTTGCCCATTAAATCTTTATACATTGAAATATGTGAGCCCGAGTATTTTAAAACAGTGCTATAAACAGAAGTAACCACTTTTTCAATAGTTGCACTATTTGCTAACAACGAAGTAGGCGGTTCTTTGGCCTGTGCTACGACTTCAATCTGACTTTCATACATATAGTCTTGAAATGACTTTAATATTTTTGAGGCTATTTCTTGCATCTCAATGTTTAGAGACTTATTTGACTCCTTATCATCTTTTGGAAAGAAGGATAAGAGCTTTGATAAAAAATGTACAGCAATTTCTTCTATTAAGTTAAAAGGTAGTTTAAAAGTCCGAGATGGGTGATGCGAGGGAAGTCCAGAGGTTTGAGTAACATCTTTAAGGATATTTTCAACAACATTGTCCACCTCTGTACACTGACATGGAGTAAGTTCACCAGAAAAATAGTTTTGCAGCTGATTTCCAGCCACTTCCTGTACAACTAAATTGACGATGGTTTCTGTAATTGTTCTGCAACCCCTGATGATACAATTCTGTATACTCTCTTGAGATTCAAATTGTTCCAAGAGGTTATTATAAATAGTCTGAACCACTAATTGGATCATTTCATCATCATTAGGATGTAAGGATTCTATATACTGTATAGACATCCGCTCATCTTTGGAGAGCTCTGTCATAACTGTACTTACTAACTTCATTTGGAAGAAATCCAGCTGCGTGTACAAATCACCGTCAGATAATTCCATTTTAGTGTTCGCTACCGTGGAGAAAATTTTTGACAGAAGAGAAGAAATTATACTCTCTAAAAATTCACGAGGCAGAATTATGGTGTATGGCCATGATGTCTGACATTCTTTGCAGGCTGTTCTGGGCACCTTTCGGAACTTTTTAATGAACTCATTAGATTCTAAAGGCAAAGGTACTACTGAAATGGGAACTTCATTGTAGAGTATCCAGTTAAGCTGATGCTGAAAAATTTCTTCTATTACTGCATTGGCTAGCCTTTTTGCTAAATGCTCACTGTTACTATTGATGTCGTTACAGACAGAATCTTGAGATCTATATTCCTGCAAAATATTGCATACAGAGGAGTGAACAACCTTATTGACCCATGCTTTATCAATTGATGGCGTTTTAGCTCTTAAAGGTATACCATCTGAAGAAGGTGTTTTACTTGCAGGTGGCATTTTATGCATGGATGGTATTTTATCCCTAATTATCATTTTTATCTCTGATGGTGCTTTATCCACAGATGGTTCTTTCTGCCTGAGCGGTCCTTTATGAACTGACGAAGCTTTATCTGCAGGTGAGGAGGGCTGATTTCCCTGATTTTGGTTTAATCCTTTAATCTGAGCATTGGAAAACTCCCTTAACAGGGAATCAATCAGTTTCATAGCTGCATCACAGAGCTGGTTTTGATTTATACTACTGGCTACATTTCCACATCCATCGTCTGTGTCTTCCGATGGAGAAAAAATCAACTTGTCGACTATTCCAGAGATAATATCTTCTAGTAAGCCAGAAGGCAAAATCCCAGGGTTATTTTCTGGTTGGTTCTGAGGGCCATCTGGTTCACTGGGTGTACTGTTAGCCTCCTTATTTTTACCGTTTTCATCTTTTTCTTCCAACGCAGGAGCAGTATGGCTAGTGAAATCTGTTAGAGAAGCCTTGCTGTCCCCCTTAGTAACACAGGCCACTTTATCATTTAGGGGACTTTGGGATGTTGAATCACCTATTGGCCCTTGAAAAGAAGATATTCCTAATGCATTGCTCCAAATGCCTTTGCTGACGTCTTGCAAATGTTTAGGATGCAAGATTTGTTTGCCATTTGTAACACTGTAAGCTAGAGAAGCTCCTCGGGTCTCTCTAGTTTTCACCTTGGATTTCAGAGGAGGTAATTTAAAAGGTACACCTTCTTTTTCTAATGAATTCACCCTTTTTTCCTCACTCTTTTTCTTAGCTTGGGTTTTAAAATCTAATTCCAGCCCAGCCTTCTTGTTCTTTGCATCATTAGTAGCTGGCAAAAAATGTTGATGATGTGTCTTATTACCTTGTCCTTTTGTATATTTTCTAGCTGAACTGTCTTTCCTCTGAATTTCATTCACTGTAGGTGCTGCGTGCTCCTGAGTATCCTTACTTCTCACGCTGGTTGTTGTTGGAGTAACTTTTGATATCTTTGCATTATCTTCCCTTGTCGAACTCCCCTTATTTTTTTGGTCCCCTTTCTTTTTATTTGCCGTATCTCCAGCTAATCCTGATGCTAGGGTAGTTACTTGGCCCTTCATCATGCTAGTTACAGCAGTACATATAGGCTCATGGATGCCACCCTCCGTCACTGATGTCTCCGCCTTTTTGAAATCACCTTTCTTATTAAATGCTCCTCTGTCCATTTTGTTTTGTAGGCCTGAAAAAGCTGACTGTCCTAATGAAGAAACTGGGCTCTCCTTTAAGCTTCTGTTCATCTTAATAAACATTTCATACGGTAGGTGTCGAACTCTTTGTATGATGTTATCCATCTCTTAAAACGAAAAAAAGGTAGAAGACCAATCTCCTGAAAAAAGTGGTTGAATGCTGAAAGCAGACATGGCCTTCTTGACTAGAGCAGCAATCGTGTTTGTAACAAAGCTACTCCTATCGCTTTTCTGAACATTTCCAGATCCATATATTTCCATGACCTCGGCATACACAGAATCAGATATCTTACCAACTATCTCTTCATTTACTGGTGGCAAAGAAAATGTTTCTTCAGCGTGTGCTAAAACTTTAATTTCATTTTCCCTAAATTCCTCTATCAAGGCATTTGCAAAATTTATAGCTATGCCTATAAGGTCTTGTTCTGATAGTTCTTTGTCCTTACGATTTTCAGTGACACTTGGGAGAGTACAAAACTTGCGGACAAGATCAATGAGGACATCTTCTAAAAATGTGGCGGAATACACAGAAGCCTGTGGTAAAGATACTGTTTTTTCTTTAGCAGGAATTGAGAGTTCAGTGGCCTGGTCTTTTTCAGATAGGTATTTGGAAGAGGATTCTTCATCACATAAAAATGGCCGCAAATGGTGATCCATAATTTCCTTCATAATGAAACCAGCTATTCTCCTGAGCAATGAGTCTCCTTTTTTGTACACATCTTTTGGTGCTTCAGCCTGGAATTTCTTATTTTTCGTAATATTGTTACATACAGAGTCAATAAGGCTCTCGATCGCCTCTGATTGCATACTTTCTGCATGCTCTTCAGTGGTGGCAAGTCTAATTTCATGTTCAGAAATTTCTGTTATAATTTCATCAATCAGTTTTGAAGCTGCATTCACAAATTCATAGTTTAGTGGCACCTCTTCCTCTTTTAGCTCAGTTGCTGTCTCAGACGAAGGGGAGATATATGCTAGAAGCTTATAGATAATATCTTCTAAAAGGGAATAAGGCAATACTGTAATGCATGATGGCATGCTGTGGCTGTCGTCATAGATGGTATCAAGTATATTTCTGATGATTGTCTCTTCTTGGAGAGAGGAATAGGATGTTATTAATTCTCCTGAAACTAATGACTCCACCTGATAATCATAAATTTCACCTAACAGCAAATAATATATTTTCTTCCCAAAGCCAATGGCATCACTTTGTATTGCCCTATAAGTATGAATCAGAGACTTATATTCTTCTAATATTTTTTCGTAAATTAAGATGACAATTTTTTTAACCATTTCTTCATATCCTTCTGAAAAATACAGTTTTTTGTCCAAGTTATCTGCAACTAAAATTTGTGACTTGGTGAACTCCAGCACAATTGATTTTACTACTGTTGTTACAGTATCAGTAATTTTGGCTTTTGCTTTACAATAGATGGTATCAAGTATATTTCTGATGATTGTCTCTTCTTGGAGAGAGGAATAGGATGTTATTAATTCTCCTGAAACTAATGACTCCACCTGATAATCATAAATTTCACCTAACAGCAAATAATATATTTTCTTCCCAAAGCCAATGGCATCACTTTGTATTGCCCTATAAGTATGAATCAGAGACTTATATTCTTCTAATATTTTTTCGTAAATTAAGATGACAATTTTTTTAACCATTTCTTCATATCCTTCTGAAAAATACAGTTTTTTGTCCAAGTTATCTGCAACTAAAATTTGTGACTTGGTGAACTCCAGCACAATTGATTTTACTACTGTTGTTACAGTATCAGTAATTTTGGCTTTTGCTTTACATGGGTTTTCAGAGTCTAAGATATTATGCGAGAATACATAGAAGATTTTGCACAAAAGCTCAGAAATTACTTCCTCCAAAAAGACGGCCGAATTCACAATGAAAGACAATTCTCTTTGTCCAGGATCTCTCGCTCTGGGTTTGTAAGCTTGATCAGCTGTACCTGGAGGAAAAGTTTTATCTTCTGATAAAAATGACTGTAGATGATGGTTAAATATTTCTTTTATTATATAACTTGCTATTTTTGCAACAGGCATACTACTTATTCCATTTCTGTCTCTTGTTAGAGATTGGTACAGCTCTGAATGACAAATATCAGCATAAATTGCATCAACCATAGCCTGAATAGCTTTTTCTGAAACCCCACTTTGTTCATCACTTTTGTGTTTAGTAATGCATATTGCATGTTTAGAAATGATTGACATGATTTCATCAATCAGCTTCATGACTGTGCTACTGAAGTCTGATTGCCAAAGTTCTGTGTCTTCTTCGCTGAAGTCCAATGGGTTTACCTGAGATAAAATCTGAGTGACTATTTTTTCCAAGTGTGTATGTGTAAATACAGTGGTATATTTTGTACACGTCTGTCTTTGGAGTCTTGATTTACTAATATCATAATGAACTCTTTTTATCAAAGCGTCAGCATTGAGTTTTGCATATAATTGAAAAAGAATCTTTGCTATGAGATCTGGATGAATTTGCCAATAAAAAATGTCAGCTAGGATAATTTTAGTGACCTTCTCAGCCAATGTCTTTGTATCATGGAGAAAACCTTCATTAGAAAATTCTAGTTGAAATTTTTGAAATACTTTGCTATACACCATGTCAATAATTTTAATGATTACATCTCTCTCTATTGGTGGCAAACACAGCTGTTCCTCAGCATTTTCTAGGACGCAAATTTGAGCTCTTGAGAATTCATCTGTTATCAAATATATGAGTTCTTCAGCTGTTTTAAAAAGTTCTCTTTCTGAATCTTTTATTGATTTTGCTTGTGTGATTTCTAAAAGCCTTTCAAATATTTTGCTCAAAACTCCGAAGATCACATCTTCCAAAAAAGCTGAGGAGTAAACACTAGCAAAAAACTGTTGCCTTCTTGTGTCATGAAAGTATGTATCTGGCGAAGGCAACAAATTTCCATAAACAAATGGATGAAGATGTTGTTGGAAGATAATTTTAATGATAAAGCCTGCTATTCTATCAATAAGAACACTGTTACTGCTTGTGATGTCATGCTCAACGGTTTCTTGAGATCCACAGTTTTGCAAAATATTTCTGAGTACTGAATCAACTAGATGCTGAGCATCATCCTCAGAATAAACAGAGTTGGTTTTCTCTTCATCTTTTGAAAATCGAATTTCATGTTGGAAAATTTTCATCCTAATATCACTGATTAGTTTTGAAGATAATTCATCAAAATTAATTCCTAATCCGTCTTCTGGAATATCACTGCACAGAAGCATACTAGATGCATAAGGAAAGACTCTAGTCAACAGTGCTTCAATTATATTTTCTAAAACTGTGTATGGCAGTAAGGTGTTATATGGAGATAAATGCTGGTGTGACTTGGTGGATTTACTGAGGCCACTGGAGATGTTTTGCACAATATTCTCTGCTGTTAACGTAGCATAAGAAGAAGCTGACAAATCTCCAGAAAACAGTGGGTAAACAAGATAATCGGAAATAGCTGCCACAATTAAATTGCTAATGTTTTCCACAAAACTATCACTGTCTCTAAGCTCATCATTATCAGCTTCATGGTCTAGCCCATATTGTTCCAGAACATTCTTGTAAACTGAATTGACAAGTTCATCCACAGTGTCTGCATCGACAGTGGGTAAAGACTGTTCTTGGTCACCACAAAGAATGCAGATTTTAGCTTCATTGAAATGATTATTTATTGAGTTTACGATTTTTTGGGTCATTGTATCCAGTTCATGCTCAGTGTTATAGTTTGCATCAAAGACCTTTGATAAAAGCCTGGTGATAATTTCTTCCACAAATGCGTTAGGATAAAAACCCACACCTAATGAGGATGGAGTTTTCTGGGATGTGTGTGACTCTTCGCCATCTTTAATCATATTTGATATTTCATCCAATGGAGCTTTTGAATGAGGTAAACCTTCACCATGCAAAAAGGGTTGAAGATGAGTTTCGATAATCTCCTGAATAATAAGACAGGCCATTTGATCGACTATAATTGGGCTTTGACTTACTATATTTTTCTGTATTGACACAAGGGAATCAGACATCTGTAAAATATTATCATAAATAGACTCCACCATATTTTGGAGAGTTTTTTCTGTATATAGATGTTGGTGATCATATTTAGTGAGCCAAATCTTATGCTTTGAAATGGCTAACATAACTTTTTTAATTATACAGGTGGATATCTCACTAAAATCTGAAGTCATTAAACAGCCCTTTCCTAAGCTTGATGACTCACCAGGTAAAGGAATGAGCTGATACAACAGTCCTCTGACGACATCTTCTAAAAATGAGTGCGATAACATGGTGGCATAGCCTGTTGAATGTTGACCCTGGGAATTAAGTTCTCTTAAGTTATTTTGAAACTTCTCTAGTATATTCTCAGCATTCAGAGGATGATATGAATTAGATTTGAGCCTCCCCACAAAGCACAATGGGAGTTGGTAGTCTGAAATCTCTATCAATATGCTATTAGTGATCTGGTCTGCTACTGAGGCGATAGCATGTGCCAGATGAGTACTGTAGATAAGTTTTGATTCATAATCCCATACAACATCATTACAAACTGAGTCAACAATTTTACTAACAGTTTCTTTACAGACTGGTGGGAAATATATCTGTTCTATATCCCGTAAAACAGAGACTCGAACATTGTTAAATTCATCCACCACAGAGTTAACACCTAATACAGCCATCTCATTGAGCTGAGACTCAGTGATATTAACACATTTGGTCTGCAATGAAGTACAGAGATTCAAAAAAATGCCTGCAATTATTTCCTCCAAAAATGTGGCAGAATAAACTCTTGTGCTCAAGCCTCCTAGATGTTGTTTGTTATGAATAGATGGTATATTCATTACCCCTTTTTTTGGTCCTAGAAGGGGAGGAAGAAAAGAAAATGTTGTACTTTTCTTCCCATGTGGAGCTTGTGATTTGGAACAAAGAGCACTGAGATTATTCAATGCCTCCGTCAAAGGTTTGCTGTCATAATTCATGGATCTCACAGAGCCTTTATCTTGTCTTGATTCTTTTAATTCTGGCCTTTTTGCTTTGGGGATACCATAAAGTCTTTCTTTTGTCTTATGTGTTAAATGCTGGTTTATAAAAGGTAGATTTCGGGGGGGTTGCTGTACTCTGTGTGACAGTTGTTGCATTAAGGACTTTACCAAGCTATGAGACATAATACTAAGCATAGACTCTTGATCTGTTCCTTCTGTAATTTCCAAAAGGTCTGACTTATCATATCCTTCAAATGCTGGGTCAGTATCCATTGTTCTATAATAACCAAATTCTTCATCCTTTATGTTTTCAAGTATGTTGAACAGTTGGCATTCTGTTGATACTTCATCAGAGAAAGGGTCATCTGCAAGGGAGGTATTGGCTGTGTTTTCTTCTGAAAGCATTTTACTAAGTTTTTCATACATGACATGCAGAAGAAAAACTGATTTGGAGGACAGCCCCTGGTTCTTTCTAGGTACACTCCAACTCTGCTGGTGACTTGCAGATGGGAAAATTTCTACTGCTGTCCTATCAGAATACATACCCAAACGTGGGTGTTCATCCGGCAAAAACAAATCTGAAACAATATTAAAGATTTTATTAACTGCTTCTTCGGACTCAAGAAATGGTAGATGACCAACCAGGGGGCCTAATTTACATGCTAGGTAATTTGGTTTATTTTTATGTATGAGTTGATCAATTCGGGGACTAGGAATTGAATTCCAGTTTCTGCAGTCTGCGTGTCTTTTCCTAATTTTGGTTTCGTTGTGATTGGCCAAATTATGGATTGTAAGTGATTGATTTCTTCTTTTGCTGTTAGGCTGATGATTTATTCCTATTTTTCTGGACAGAACATGAATAACTCCTAGCAGGAGATCTTGAAAGAGATCGTCCAACTTAGTCACAGCCACTCTGGGGCAGTAAATGTATTTTGTTTCTATAGCAACCATTTGTTGTGCAATGTTTGCCTTTAAAATGTCATTGTTAAGAAGAATTCGAATAATGATTTCAGAAATGCTTAAAGCAAGTTCTCTGATAGAAATTGACCGACTCTCAAACATTTCAAAATGAAGTAAAATAACGTTGTTAAAAGCTGCTTCTTGGATTTCCAGTGCTTTCTGTATTGTTTCCCCAGAATAATGAGAAAGTCTTAAAATTATACAGGAAATAACTAATTCACTGAGATGTTCACATAATTGATTAAGTGAAAAATCAAAGTTTCTGCTTCTCAGAAGTTGTTTTGATTTGTATTTCTTCCTTAAGAATGTGGAGGCAATAGATGCTTTTTCATCATAAGGACCTTAAAACAAAAAACATTTCACTTTTAATACACAGAAGGAAAAATGGTGACCAGAGACAATGCTGGCAATATCTTACATATAAATTTCA